TTCAGGAACAGTTTGTAACCTAGGTGTAATACATGACACTACAGAAACGGTACTTACCACCGCCATTGCAGTGTTCTTCATCTGAATTGTCTCCACAGTCATCCATGCCATCACATTCCCAGTCAGCAGGTATACAATTGCCATTAATGCATGTAAACTCACCAACTCCACATCCTTTGATAAAATATGAGATGATATGGATATCAGCTTCATAAATTCAGCCCTCCCGATTTCAGGAACAGTTTGTAAACTAGGTGTAATACATGTCACTACAGAAACGGTACTTACAACTACCATTGTAGTGTATAAATGTATATATTTATAAATTTATCAATCTTGATTTGATGGGAAAAATTCGAATTTATGTGGACCGTACATTTAAATAACAGTACTTACCACCACCATTGCAGTGTTCTTCATCTGAATTGTCTCCACAGTCATCCATGCCATCACATTCCCAGTCAGCAGGTTTACAATTGCCATTAGTGCATGTAAACTCACCAACTCCACATCCTGTGACAATAAAAATGAATTGATATGGATATCAGCTTCACAAATTCAGCCCTCCCGATTTCAGGAACAGTTTGTAAACTATGTGTAATACATGACACTACAGAAACGGTACTTACCACCGCCATTGCAGTGTTCTTCATCTGAATTGTCTCCACAGTCATCCATGCCATCACATTCCCAGTCAGCAGGTTTACAATAGCCATTAGCACAAGTGAATTCATAGTCTCCGCATCCTGTGATAGGGGACACCAACAGGTATGGATATAAGCTTTATAAATTCACTCCTTTGATTTCAGGAATAATTTGTAACATAGGTGAAATATATTACGCTGAAGAAACAGTACTTACCACCACTACCGCCATTGCAGTGTTCTTCATCCGAGTTGTCCCCACAGTCATCCATGCCATCACATTCCCAGTGAGCAGGTTTACAATTGATTAGACAGGTGAATTGGCCACCACCACACCCTGTGAAAAGAACACCAAATAATATGGATATCAGCTTCAGAAATTTACTCGTCCCGGGTATCGTATGTGTAGTATATTATACATGACACAACAGGAATAGTACCTACCATTTTCATTGCAGTGTTCTTCATCTGAATTGTCTCCACAGTCATCCATACCGTCACATTTCCAACATTTTGGTACACAATGCCCATTGCCGCACTCAAACTGGTCTTCGTCGCATTCTTTGAAAAACATTAATGATAATTTGAACACTAGCACGAATAAAAGTACGCCAATGTATCGGAAGCGTCAATTGCTTGGCTAAAACCTGATGTCGAGGAAATAAGTTAACACAACTAATAATACATAACGGGGTATGCGGGTCTGAATTCCATCTGATCTTATTGAACTTTTCTTTTCTTTTCTTCTCTTATTTGTCATTTTAGTCATATTTGTTTTAAATTAATTTTCTTAATACTGTTGTTCAATTTTCTTTCTGCGAATGCGCTAAGATCTGAATCACCTTCATAGAAGATTCGTGAAATCTTAAGAAAATAGCTTAGTTTGATATGGGTGATATCGAACCTTTGCCCAAGACTATGGTGGTACATGATAACGAGACCGGATTCAACTAAACCTAGCAATGTATACTATTTACTCCATTTTATAGGATGCAAAATCCAATGGAAGTAATTTATAGTGGGTTTGTTGTGAAGCCAGGGTTGGGCAACTGTAATAATTTGTGTGGAATTCAAGGCGGGTGCAAGCGGCTTTGTGTATTTTTGTGTATTTTAAGGAGCAACTTTAGCAAACTACAGAGATTGTTAACAAACTAACTAGGTTAGTCAACCAATCAGAGAAAGTCTTGTATACAATGATTAATTTATAAGTATGCGAGTGTCAATGGCCACCCATGGCTATATATAAAGCCTTCTCTGATTGGGCATTGAGTTAATTGAGATCTTCTATGGAAGTTGTTCAAATCTGTGGGCTATCGCAATCAGACAATTACAAAAAATAATAAAATTAGGAAACTAAACCGAAAAAAGCACACGGTATAATTGAAATTAAAAAAGAAGAAAAATCTGTCACAGAGTTGTAAGCAGACCCGCCGATATGTAAATATAATTGTAATTGACGTGTTGTGGGTATAGTAGTTGTATTAAGTGTATGTTAATGGAGAACTCACAATCAATACCAAGGTAATAAAACATCCTCGCCTAAACAATTGAATGTTAGGTAACGCTTGGTAACCTTTTCAAAAGAATGACTGGACTTTGACGGCGGCCCAATAATGGTTTGGTATCATTTGAGTGTATGCAAAGCTGGTGACATGCTAATTTTCCCAATATGCAGTGACCTCACTCCTTAAAAATCAGTTGGTGACCATGGTCCGCCGGCGCAAGGGGGCTTTTATATGACGGAGTTTAAACTTCATCTGGGCCGGTGTAAATGTTACGTATATAGTCAAATATGTAAATGAAAATGTCAATCAATGCTCTGGGCCTTCTGATTTAAATCGTTATTTATTTTGAACTTACCGTGACATGTTTTCTTGGTTTTCGCTTTTAGTTCCGTCTTTTGTTCCATTTTCATCTGTTTAACTTTCAATAATTGTTTATATTTCTTTCTTTTGTTTGTCTTTTCATCTTCTTTTAATGATTCGACAACACTGTTTGCATTATGAATAATCCGCTTCTCTGTGTCAGGACTATCAAATGATTCCTTCGCAATGATACTATTGATGTCGTTAAAGTCGTACGTGACATCAGATATAGTATTTATTGCATTCTTTGAGTTGGATATTGTCCTAAGTCGGGTGGCTAGCTTGGACTTAAACGTACTTCTCTGAAATAAAATAGTATTATCACTTTTTAATTCTAAAAAACAAACAATAAAAACAATCAATATTTATGTTTTATTTATTGTCATTTATTGTTCCATTCGTCCACGTGGGGCGCAGATCACGTGCCTAACGGGTGGTTTTCGATTTCTCGCCTTTTTGGGAGATTGATTGTACAAGTTAAACACGTTCATTTTAATTATCATTTACGTTGAAATTGCTTTAATTTTTTTTTTTACAAAAACGACCCATGGTACTGATCAGCCGAGCTGAATGAATTGAATGCTGGCATAAATAGCATCACAGGGTCTTATCTGATCTGATAATCTATCATATGCATATATGTATATCCTTATACTGTAAACTATTTCACTATTCAATTTCACTATTTTGTGTAATTTCACTAGAATTTAATTTCACGAACTTGGCAGAGAAACAGTGAGTTACATTGTTGTTCTACAGGACCATGTGCATTTACTTAATTAGCGAGTTTTACTTATGTTTGAAAATAGAGAAATTAAAATCCAGTGAATAATTAATGCATTTACAGTAATCGTTTACGACGTGGACGATTATTACAGGTGTGATAAACTAGTAAATGTGTTCAAAACTGTTCGGTAGTGTTTTATTATGCGCAATTATGCGCTAAAGGAAAACGACGTAATACCTGTCATCATGGGTCATATCCTGAATCAGAAATACAAGAATAAACGATTGTCTTATAACACTCAGAGAGCTATGTAACAGCGTGGAGAGTGTCCGCTCAAAGTCATGTCAGAAGTATGTGACCATGGACATCGTACATTACCAAGGTTGGTTATATAGCGTAAATGCGGTCACCGTTACCTTACGGCACGCCCTATACCTTTTCTACCAAGGTTGCGTACCCAACTTTTTGCCGAATTCCGCTGCCAACCCAGGTCGGTCATGGACCTACATACAATGTATGTATTTCTAATACTGTAATCAAATACAATCTGACGAGCAGGATACAGTAAACTGAGGAAAGTTAAACTATCGTTAATTTGCCAACGGAAATATATT